GACATTTTGACTTTATGACGTGTAGTCCATACAAATTTATGATGGCATGCATACAATTTCGTGCATTTCATCATGCATTTATATGGACTACACGTCATAAAGTCAAAATATCCCAATCTCAGCTTACTGAGTTTCTATGCTCAGCATATATCCTCAGCTATCTGTCATTGACTGACAAAATAAAATGAATTCAATGTCATTTTTGTTCGGAACACATTTTCAGTTCTAATTTCTGCATAGCTTCTTCTTAAATGACCCTGAACATTTTTTCTTCGTTCTTCTGAACCCGAACTGATATCGCACAAAAAAACACGATAAATAACTTTCGTTTGGTTTTTTTTTATCATTCAATAAAATTGATGACAAACGCACATTTAGACACGGACAAAGCGAAGTAACAAGAAACCTCAATTTCTCAAACGGTTTTTCCCTCTTTCGCTCACACAACGGTGTGTCCGAACGCGAAACGAAAAACGAATCAACATTCGAATACTTCAGAGCGCGCTTGGAAAAAAAGAAAATCTATATTGCAAGATAATGAATACTGTGTGTAATGAATATATGTGTAAAATAACACTAAATGGAGATGCCGTTACAGTTATAGTTTTTATTCTAACAACAACAGCATAATTATTCGTTTTCTATTTTCGTTTTGGATAAAACACGATAAGCGATTCTTGCTGAGAAAATTTCAAATTGATAACCCGTTTACTTCGTTTTTGTTTTTCGCTTGCCTCAAACTTTATCTCACATACACAAAAACTACTCTAAAATTCAGTGCAACATTTTTTCTTCGACTACTGATGCAGAGTTGAAAGACAAAAAAACGACAAACAAAAAAAACTGAATAGAATTTTTAATAATAGATATTTTATTTGTTGGTCCTTACTTTGGCTATGTGGTTTGCGTCGCACTTGTGTGTTCAAACTGACTGACTGACTGACTGACAAAACTTATGAATGGTGATTATATGGGCGCCATGGCACAAGCACAAGAAGAGAGAGCGAAAAAGAATACACCGAGAGAAGAAGAAGATAATAGCAGTCGAAAAACACCACCAACAACAACAACAACAACAATGCCATCGGATTTTAGTAGTGGAAAACATCAATACACACTGGCACATGCATACAGCGCGTACAAACAGTCAGCGCGCACACTCATATCATACAAAAATATTTGTATATACATGCATCAACTACACCACCATACACGGTCGAATGATGACGGCTCGGAATCTTCCAATCTATATATATACACCTAACAATATGCATATATCGCTTATTTTGTATTGCGTATTGCAACAATACACGAGTGTTGTCTGATGTACACAGCGACGACGACGAAGACAACAATTGGAATGAACCCAAACAAACAAACGAATTATATGATTAAAAAAAGAGTTGATTCTGTTTTTTTTTTATTATTTCACAATTTCAAAAGGCATTTTGCGCCATTGATCAACATTTCAAAAGATAAAAACATATTTTAAATGCACCAATTTTCCAAACTCATTGCACAATGAGCTTGAATCTCATATTGTTGTGTTCACCTGAATTTTTTTTTTCATCTCCGGCATTTCAAAAATATCCACAACTGGGCGGCAGGGGTGGGCTGAAAGTCTTATTCGCTCTTGAAGTTTGGAGCCCGTTTCTCAACAAAGGCGGTCATTCCTTCTAGTCTGTCTTTCTGTAATGTGCAGTGAAGATAGTAAAAAGAATAAATTGAATAAAAAAACCAGTGTCTGAAAAAAAAACTGCGTACCGTTGAAAATGTGGCGTGGAAGGTGCGTTTTTCGAATTTCAGACCCTCTTGCAGTGTCGTTTCGTATGCAGTGTTAACAGCTTCTTTGCATAGTTGAACAATCAATGGTGAATGTGTGCCGATTTTCTCTCCCAATTTAATGGCGCTGTCAACCAATTGATCGGCGGGAAATACTTTGCTGACTAGACCACTCTTTTCGGCTTCGACAGCATCGATCATGTTACCGGTCAAGCAAATTTCCATGGCTTTTGATTTGCCAACGACACGAGTTAAACGTTGAGTACCGCCAGCACCTGGAATCGTGCCGATGGCAATTTCGGGTTGTCCAAATTTCGCCTTATCACCGGCATAAATAATGTCGCACATCATGGCCAATTCGCATCCACCGCCCAGCGCATATCCATTAACCGCCGCAATGATTGGCTTTTGGATGCGTGTCACATTGGTCCAGTCAGACAAGAAATTCGATCGAATACTCTTGGCATATGTGTTGTGTTGCATCTCCTTAATATCAGCACCGGCAGCGAATGCTTTTTCACTGCCAGTCAAAACAATGGCCAAGATCGAATCATCCTTATCATATGTTTGAAGTGCTTGGTTCAGTTCAATCATTAGGCCATTGCACAGGGCATTTAATGCCCTTGGACGATTCAGCGTTACCAATGCAACATTGTTCTTTTCACCAACAACGGTCGTCTTAATAAACTCATACGAAGCTAAATGACGCAGATAAGAGAAGAAAAAAACAACAAAATACCCAAAAATATTAGAAGAGCTGTCTCTAAACAACAACAAGCATAGCTGTGCGACAACATCGCTCAATCGAAAGCATGACATTGCTAAATCGTTTTTAGAAAAACAAACAACAACAACAAATAATTCAATCTCTTTCAAAGGTTAATCAATGTTGATAACGTTTCTGCTTTTTGCAGCAATTAATACGAGAGGAAGAGAGGAAGATAAATATGAACAAATAAAAATAACTTACGGGCACTGGCAAAATGGCGAGTTGTACTGATCAATTTTGGATTTGCAAAAGTTTTCACATTTCCAACTAGCACACGGACGAACGACATTTTCTTGTTTTTTGTGATTCGATTTTATTAGATTGAACGATTCAAAAGAAGTAATACGGAGATTTGGCGGATCTAAGATCTGTTGCTCACTAACGTTACAAATAAACTGAAAATGACGTCTGTGTGTTGCTTCTAAAATCGTATGGAAATTGGTTCGTGCCTTCTTTTTATATTGCGTAGCCGGCAATTTGATGATAAGCTTTGGTTGTCTGTGCATGTGTACGACGTATGCTAGTGTGTATGTGTGTGACAGCCTGTCTACGATTATCCCAACGAGCATCGACACTTGACCGTTTTTATTTTACGCAAGCGCAAGCAATATAATTTTCAAATTTTTGATTGCAATTGGCTCTCCATTCAAATTAGATTCGGATAAGGTTAATATTTTCAAATTTGATTGGATATTTAGCGAAAAAGTTGAAAATTCAATGAAATTCAAATTCACATGGTTTTTGAAAATGATAACAAACCACAACGACAACAAAAGATAGAATCAATGAAAGAAGAAGAAGAAATGAAAAGAATTGGAATAAGAGAGCTAGAGGAAGAAAGACAACGAAATGAAAGGAATATATATATCACCCTTTTGCCTATAGACAGAGCGATACAAAGATTTTTCTCTAGTTTAATAAAAAAGGAACAATTATTGCGACAATTTTCATTCATTTGTCTGAAAACCATCTCTTTATTTTAACTACTTTGTTCGATTGTTACATAAAATGTCGCAAACAATCATACAAGTTAAAAAATGATGCAGAAAAAAAATGGACGAGTTCTTAGTCAAAGAATTGATTTTATCAAAGAGAAACAAAAAACAGAGAGATTGATTGCGAGTTGACATGACAATTATTTGTACTGTAGCTTCAATGGTATATTATTAACTAAAATTTGCAGGCACATCTTCAAGCATTCTTCGACGCTGCTGATCTGTGTGCACGGATAATGTTCAGCGTGTTTCGACAGATAGGTGCAAAACCGTGAGAAATTTTGACGTGCAAAATCTTTATCGAGATCTGTAATACGTTTGATGTCACCGTCGGTCAGCAGTGTGGGTATATCGGCTTCGGTGAGCTTCTGGAAAACGGCATAGTCTTTTTGGCATGGTTCACATTGACACTTGAACTTATATTGTAGCAATAGTTGCTTTTGGCGCACCTCCAGTGGCTCGTGGCTGTGATGATATCTACGACGAAAAAAAAAAAAAATAAAAAAAATTCATTGAAAACAAAGTTTTTGAAATTTCTATAGTTCTATGGTTGAAAATAGTCACGAAATTTTCATAAAATCGATAATATTGAAAATCAAAACACCACTTAAAATGTCCCTCAATACGCTTACCCATAATTATCTAGAATTTCCTCTCCAGCTTTTATCGGCCTCAGCACAAACACGGCAATTTGTGTTCCAATCGGCAGCCGAACGATATTCGGTGAGCAAGCATGATTAATGAGACTGCAGAAGCCAAATGCGCCTGATCCATATGAAACGTCGTCCAAATCATTTGGATCTCTGGCATTGGCAAGTGTTTCCAATCGATGAAAATTGGTCGATGCCGTTTGCAAATGTCGAAAAATGAGTTCCATTAGCAATTTTCGATGGTCGTCGCTCTGCAACAACTCTGCCAATGGTGAATGCTGAATTAATGCCCGATAGATGACGGCCGTGATGACGGCACGTTGAAAGAGATCAGCCGTAGTTCTTTTCGATTGATTGGTTTCGAGGGTGTGAATTGGTTTGTAAAGCTCCGATTTTGGCATATCATTTTGATAGTCCAATGTAAATGCGTTAACTTTGGCTGAGTCTGGATCATGTATGACTTTAAGTAGTGAATCGACACTGTCATAGCTGGTCAGAGCGCATATGGATACACGAACGGCGCTCAATTGAATGATGTTTAACATTTTGAACATGAAATCGATGACGGGACACTCAAAACGATGAAAATGCATGTGCGCTTCGCTGGCACAGTCTTTGCTACAAAACATGGTTGAGGTACAGTATACGCATGGGATCAAATTGTAGTCACATTCTTCCAAGCAATTGGCACATCGTGTATATCGAACCGATGGCAATGTCCAACTACAGAAACTGTCCTCGATTGCAATCACTTTGCCGACGCTCAGATCGCGATTTGTGACGATGTGCCGGCCGAGCTCTTCACTTTCGCGCATCTCCAGACAGTCGGCGATGAAGGGAACCTTTGGGTGGGGTGGGTAGCTGAGTTTCGGCGCTAAAATCACTTCGTCGTCATTATCATCGTCCGTTTTATTTCCGGCTTTGGCTTTCTCTTTGGCCTTTTGCGAATAACACTCGGCTGACCGTTTAATTAGCTTATCCATTAAACGCTCCGGATAACCATGTTCCTTGGCCAATTGAATATTCTCTAAACACAAATCATACTTTTTCCATTCCAAATAAATGGCCGAACGATTCGCATATCCGATTCCCATGTCCTCACTGTCCAGCTCCGCAAAACAAATACTCTGATTGTACAACTCCAATGCCCGAACGTAGTCGCGATTTTTCAGTGAATAAAATTGATTGCCCTGCTTTCGAAAGTCCAAACATTTCTCCGGATCCTTTGCCAATCGAAATGGTACGTCGACCTGGATTTTACTCTGGTGCCACACTTTGTCGGCAAATTCAACTCGTGCCGCATCCGATGTCAATTGATTGAATTCACCCGATAAATCGGCAACTTTGTTCCCATTTTGCAGCTGAAGAAACAATTTATCCGCAATTAAATCGTAAATCGCCATGACCTGCAATCTGGATAAGTTTAAAGATTTAGGTTATGTACTGCCATGGACAGTGGAAATGAAAGTGAAAAGCGTTCCATTCACAAAACACATACACGCACACGATCAATGCAAATGCGAGATATTCGATTCGACAGCGACGGAAAAAATTATTCTCAATTTTGAAAGGGGGTTTTCAAATTTTCATCAATATTCAGTCAGAACTCGGTTTCGTGCGTGTGTGTGTATGTGTGTTGGTCTTGTATCGATTGTCGAATTCATTTATTCCATTTCGAAAATGTGCACCTGTTCAAGTTGCCACATTCATTTACCTTGATTTGGTTCGATAATGAATAATATTACTTAATTTTCTTGTTCGTTCTATTTGTTTCTTGAACTTTTCGACCGCTTCGCGTACACACACCGTTTATCGTCTGGGACACCTCTTTGTCGTTGTTTTTTCGTACCAACCAACCAAAATCACTGCATATGTATGTGAATTGATATATACAATTATGACCGAAGGCTTTTCGTAAATATTGGCATACACACGCAATCAACGATGCGATATATAATGCGTGAACTAGCACGGAACAATTGTCGAATCGAAATCGATAAACACAATTTGTTTTTTAAAAATCGTCGCTGATATTTGAAGTGATTTTGGTTATCAGCCGCTGCTGAACACAACCTTTTCGATTTTTGGAAGGTTCGGATATTACACTCACTACTGTCAGTGTCACACACATCTTATTTGGAAATGTCAAAAAAAGACGCACCAATACATTAAAACATACAGTAGTAACAAACAATCATTCAGAAACATAACAAAGTGGGTTTCGAAAACAAGACATCGATTAACGCCAAAAAATAGGCAATCACTATTCGTATCATCGTAAACAACGGATAAGTTAAACAACTTACGGCAATTTAAAATAATTGTTTGTACTATTCTTAGATAGAGAGAGTTTTTATTTTTTTGACAATTCAACCGCAATCCTGGAATCCATCAACGATATGCCCACCTCAAACGCCTTTTTAATCATCAATTTAGGTAAATTCATGGAAAACCATCCAATCCATTCCCAATTAAAATCGATCAAAATTGTCAAGTTTTCATCATGAAATGTAGAAAATTTACCACCCGTTTAAAATTCCAGGCTGTGAAATGCTGTACGTTATCGATCAACGGCTGAAAGCACAGGGTATTTCATTGGAAAAATCCGCTCAAGGTAATTGATGATTTTTTTTCTGGTTCGGTTTTTATATGCTTTCTTATTTGATTTTCCGAAGAATTTTTAAAAAACAGTTTCAGTAGATTTTTTTTAAGTTTTCAAAATTGTTTTTTTTTTGTTAGTTTCCTTGGTGTTGAAAGTCGCACAAAGTGAAATTTACCTATAATCTATTTGAATGCACAAAGCACAATACTCGAACATTTGTTATATGGAAATTCGGTACTTTGAAAAAAATAACATGGTTATGATGATTATATGTGTTCATTGATCTGCCATTCACTTTAATTGTAAATGAGTTTTCACCTTCATTTTAACCATGAAACCATTTATTGCAACAAAAAAACTTTTGTTTCATTTTGCAGTTCTACGTGACTTGACAAGTGTTTTATTTGATCAAAAGTTGGTGGTGCAGCTGATGAACCCACATCCATGCCAGCATATATTGACTGTGCAACAATGTCGAATTTTGTTGACTGATATTGCTTGCTGTTCGCTGATGCGTTTGGATATGACATCAATGGATAAACTGTGGGATTTGATGGTGATGCTTTTTAAATGGCAACTGTACACCATTCGTGACAATCCCAACCGATTGCTTGAGCTCACCTTTCGCCACATGGACGGTGTGGCAAAATTGATGCCCGAAATGAAGAAAACCTTATTGGTTGATTCAACGAAGCGTTGTTTGATTGAATTCTGGGATGCATGCTCACCGGAAGAGGTCGAACTTTTGATGGGCAAACTGTTGCAATGGATGCAGCCGTTTAATGTAAAAATATCGATTTTAATTCGATCCGGTTTTCAGCGAAATGACGGCACGTTTGAAACGACACCGGGACACATGCAAATTGAACATTTTCAGGTGAGTTTGGACCTTTGCAAAGCTTCGAGTACTCAAACGCTTTACCTATTTTTGACCAACTTTATTTTGTTCCATTTTTGAGTGTTCTCATTTTTGAGACGATTTTTCAAAATACAATTTTTAATGCGAAAATATCGATTTCGATTTTCTTCCTCAGGATTACGTTGACAGCATCGGTGAGAATATTTATGCAAAAAGTGCGAGTGCCTCAAAGTCAAAGTCTCGAAAATTGTCAATAGATCAGCAGAACGAAAAAAGACGAACCTCTTCAGTCAGCAATGAGTTGAGCTCATTGGCACATCAGTTGAATATAGACAATGACATTGTGCCGGAAGAGCCGGTCGATGAGCCAGCTCCAGCGGAAAATTTGGATGAAATGGCCGAAAGATCGAGCAAAAGTGATTTAGTTGTTGACGATGTCAATTGTTCAATGACAACGGAAAATGTTGAAATTGAATGCACCACCGATTCATCGTCAAACTCGGAATTTGTTCATTTGAAGAAGACCACCACTGTGTTGCAAAGCTATCTCGAGCAATTTCAAATGGAGAATATCAAATCGAACGAGAGCAGCGAAACATTTGACGCCACCGAAGAATTGCTCAAAATGTTAGACACGGAAAATAATGAATCGTAAATTGTTCAAAATAACGAACAATTTCTTCATACACAGAAACCAATCAATATACACACGAGTCTTTTTTTCAAGTTCAAATTTATTCTTCTAACAATTTAACAAAAAAGATGATTGAATTTGAACGAATTCAAATGACAAAAATTTACTCCCAAAAAAATCACAAATGAACAAATTTTTAATTGATGATAGAATTGCGCTTACCGATCTCAACGGTTTTTCAGTGAGTTTTGTCCAAACTGTGCTTTTGACCGGCGCAAGATAGCGGTGGCGTCTATTCGCAATTCGCGGAATTTTTAAGAACTATCAATACTTGTTGTTGTTGTCATGAATTTCGCAACAACAAGAAGTATTGATAGTTCCTTAAGTTGCCGCAGATCCTATTTAGGCGCTACCGCTATTCACTGTCACGTCAAATACATTGGTTCTTATGGGAGAGAAGCACAGGTTGGTTTTGTCATTCGCTCAACAAATAGGGTGATGAAAGAACAGGAATTGAACATTTACATAAAGAAGCGAATGGATGTGACAACGAAATTGGATGGAAAATGCCTTAATTATTATATAGAATACACAAACAAATCTTGCATATCATTTATAGGACACTATAGCAATAAGAATTTAAGGACACTTTAGCAAAATTGAATGAAAAAAAGGCCTGAGAATTGAATTTAGAACAATGACAATATTATAATATTGCGACAATAGCAGCAACTATAGCAAAATATTTTTGTTTTATTGTTTTCGATCATTTTTTTCAAAATTTAGTTTTTGGATTCTTGGTTTTCGCGATTCTCTTTTCTCGAATCTCAACATTTTTATTCGATTTTTTTTAAGATTTCCACCTTGTCATTATTTATTTTCTTCGTCTTTCTTCCTTGGTCTTTTCATATATTTTTATTCTTATTATACAATTTTCTTTTGAATTTTCTACATAAATATTTCTACTTGAATATAATCGAAAGTTCATCTCTTTAAAAATTTTGTACTTGAACCAGATTTCCTTTTATTCAGTCATGAAGATGAACATATGTGTAGAAAAATGAATTTTAATTAATTTTTTTTCTGTCAATTTCGTCTGCTCATCGGTTGCACGCAAAATGCTTGCGAACATCAATGTGAATGCAATTTTAGAATTAATTTAGTATTTATAGGAATGTAAAACATCGCTTCTAAAGACAACGAATTGCAATTTCGAATGATTAGAATGGTTTAATTTAGATGTGGCTTTTAGTCCGAAGAATTGAAATGAAGATAAAAGTAAAGATTTTAAGAAATAAAATTTTAATTTCTTTTCTTTATCAAGAGCAAGACTGTATGAAAAATTACTATTGCTACGGCAAAAAAAATTCTCAAGTGAAACTCAATGAGTGCCTTCAACATTGAATGAGAATATCATAGAGCATATGAAAATCTGCTAGAAGACAAACAAAATGGAATAAATCTGTACGTTAATCATATTTTGCACTTGTGATAAATTTAGTAAATCTCTCAAAAAATATACATAAACCGTATTCTCTCTCAATAAAATGTAATAAAATAATATATATAAATAATCGTATTGGCTTCTTATTGTTTGTCTCTCTCTCTTTGTGTGTGTGTGTGTATGTCTGTCTGTCTGTCTGTCTTGGTCTGTCTTAAAACGTGGTTGCATCAGAGTAATGTAACATTGCCCAAATTTTCTTTGATCACAGTTTCCATGACGACCTGGAATACGGTTTGCACATTGGCTGTGTCGGTGGCTGTGGTAAAATGTGGGCATATCACACGACGCGCATTATGATTTCGTTGTAGAAACTTTTTCTGGATAAATAAGGCAGCTTGATCAATATTTCGATCGGGACCTGTAACACAATTAAATAAAAATTCATGACGAGTTGTCGGTTGGGGTAAATGAAATGAGAAATTTTTGAAGTAAATTTATTTGACTTGATTTTACTGTAGAATTTATCGATCGATATTTCATCAATTCATGTTTCTTTGGATAAATTGGCCAAAGTTAATCAAATCTATTTCATTTTTTAAATATTCAAAACTTGTTCGATTCATCCCTGCTCACCTGTATAGTCCGGAAAGAAATTTCGTAGATGTCGACTGCTCGACATGATTTTTTCACGGAATAAATCCAATTTATTGAGGAACAATACGAACGAGGCTTCTTTGAACCAACGATTATTCACGATTTGCTCAAACAAATTGAGACTCTCTTCAAGTCGATTCACCGTTGTGTCTTCCAGCAATGTCATATCGTAGCCGCTGAGCGCAACCACAAACAGCACTGCTCGCACGTCTTCGAAGCAATACACCCATTTTCGGCGTTGAGATCGTTGACCACCAACATCGTACATGCTACGAGTGAAATTTGTTGTAAATTATTTTAATTATACATTTTTCAAAAAGTGTTCCATTTTATGAAATATTACAAGAGCAAGAAACGAAAGTAGAAATTGGTAGAAATGATTTTGGAGATGGTTTTACGTGTTTGAACAGTTTTAGTATTTGATACGGCCAATATCCAATAAAATAAACCAATTGAAAAATTGTCGCGTGAATTCATGTCGAAAGTATTTCTCCTGACGGGTTAGTTTAATAGAGATAACTTGCCTGATAATTGTGTCGTTGACACGAAAGTTGGTTTCGATGATGCCATTGGTACGAACGCGTGCCCGTAGAACATCGGTTGGTGTTGGCATGTAATTATCATCACAAATTCGGTCCATGTTTTCGAAAAGGCTGCGCAAAAAAGAAACAACAACGACTTACATTGATTGATTTGATTCATTATGACAAAGAGTTCATTTGAAAAAAAAAGAGCTCAAAGCCCAACCAAGTGTAGCAAAAAAAAGAGAAGCGGATAGTCATTTAAACTCACTAAAGTGCTGAATCATTGAGCTCGTAATCGTAGCCTCTTGCAACGGCTAATCGAATGCCGCGATCTTTCCATAGTACTTTCAGTGCGCTCCGAACACGATCGATTATTTTGAATTCCATGTCAAAGCAACTGGGGCTGGAAAGTACAATTTCAGCATAGACCTTATTCGATGAGTGCTCCAAATTGATGCGTAACAATCCCATGCCGGTTAATACATATTTCATGGAGGCAAGCAAATTATCCAAAACGGTCGGACGAAAGGCCGATAATTCCGATTGCGAAAATCCATCTGTGTGGATGATTTTCATTTGTTTGACCCATGTACTTTTGCCTGAGATTTAAGTGCGAGTTTAAAAGAGAGAATGGAAAAATCGATTAAGATGTAACTACATTTAACAACGAAGACACACTCTCACCAACGAGATGAACGTCATAAATATATCTATTCAAAAATGTTTGATCAAAAATATTATCATACAAATCTTTAATAAAAAAAAGTCTCAAAAAAATTGTTGAATTAAATTGAAATATCACGAAAAGAAAATCGTTGATAAAATCTCTTTGAAAATCAATTCATTCGACCCAAGCAACCGTTGCGATCGTTAACTGATTGATGATGTAAAAACTATATGCATAGCTCAAATATTTCCAGTGAAATTCGAAGATGTCGTCATTAACCGTTTTCTCTCTTTAAAATTCATGATCCGATAGCATGAGGCTTTTTACGTCACAGAAATGTGTTTACATGTTTATTCATGTTTAAATGATTGAAACTTGCAATTTTGACTACTTTCAGGCGTTGTTGTTGTGTTTTTCAATGCAATTAAGATAGAAACTTTGTGATTACATGTTAATTAATGAATATTTTCAGTAGTTTCGCTCTTGTCACATTCTGCACATTCAGTGTCCATATGAATCAATGTATTTTTGGTTTTTGCTGTCGGATCGTGTTAAAATTAAAATAAGAAAAACAAGTCACAACTTACCGCTTTCGCCAGCGCCGAGCAAAAGTATTTTAAGTACTCTGGGTCGTTCTTTAGCCAATGCATCTAGTTGCTTGTCGATCTCTTCGCTACGCTTACGCGCGATCATTTCATCGCGCTCCAATGTTAGGCACGCACCCATCAATTACATCGAATGGCTAATTGATTTACATTTGAACAACAGCGACATGAACAACTAAAAGTGATGTGCGAATGTCAGAGTCGCGCGTGGACGCGCACACGTTTTCGATCAACCGAGACAAAAAAAAGCGACACCGACAACGACGATGATGATGATGATGATGTTCACCTGTTTGCTGCTCCTTCGCTAAATGGCGATGAAAACAAAGAGAAAAAACTCAGACAGGCTGAATACAAGAGCAGAAATACTATGGCGCTGTTCCACTTGACTTCACTTAATCAATTCACTTATATGAATAACAATAAACACAGCCAATTGAATGTCATCATTTTTTACTCAATTTTGATCAGTCTTTCTCCTCTTTTATTCATCTATTTGGTTTTTGTTCGTTGCTGTCTATTTTATCGCATGTTTTCAATCCAATTTCATCGTTTGCCTTAATTTATTTATTAGCTCGATGCCACTGCTGTTGTTATAGCTTTTTTTTGTTTTAATTATGGTTTTGAATAAAACATAACGAAATAATGACAAGCGAAAGCCGAATTGTTGATTTCAGATAAAAGTAGTAATTTCCATCGAAAATATCGTCGGTGTCGGCAATGAATGGTTGTTTTATACGTTGTGGTTTCGCGTCAAATTACCGAAAATTCATATGATTATCATGACTTTGATATTGTGTGAAAAACCATATGAATCGCGAGTAACAACAAACAAAAACCGAAAATATTACTTAAAGAAAAATGCGGCTGGAAAAAAGCAGATCATATACACATGTGAACATTGTGTATGTGCCTATCTAAACAATAGGCTCATTGCGAGCCCAACACTCGATGTAAATTCATTTGCGTATGCAAAATTAATGTTAAGCCGTTTTTATTTCTTTGCTTCTGTCTATCTCTCGCATTCGCGTTCGCAATTCTTTTGTACTTTTGTGTTTTTCCTAATTTGGATCTGTTTTTTTTTTTCTCTTTCAGCATATATATCAGCTGGAAAAATAGTGTTTAGCGATAAAATTGGTGCATAACACAAAAGGTGCACATACACGTTTGAACCCCACCAAAAAAAGAGAAGTAAAGCGAGTTAAAAGAGAGATAGAGAACTGTATACAGCTGTTATTACAACATATTTTCAAATGGCAAAAAGATTTGCCATTGTTTAATCATTGCATGAACAATGGCACACAAGAAATGGAATGAAACATAAGAAATAACACAGAAAAAAATGAACGAAAGAAGAAAAAATAATGAAAAAAAAAACACAAACGAAGAATTACACATGAAACTGAGTGCGCTTCAAGGGAATGCACAATGTGCATTGCACACACTGAGAAAAGGCTGGAAGGAAATATTCCAACCCTGCGTTGTAAATGTTGTCATTGCAGACGATTTTGTGAATTGTCCAACCATGGTTGGAATTTGACAAGTGCGAAAATGCTATCAATATTCCAACCATGGTTGGACAATCCACAAAATCGTCTGCAATGACAACATTTACAACGCAAGGTTGGAATATTTCCTTCCAGCCTTTTCTCAGTGCATATAGAATTCAGTTCAGCGTTGAAACCATTGAGCCGAAATGGCAATCCTTTTGGAAAAGGGAATGAGAGCATGCATTGCAACAGCAGCATCAACAGCAACAATTTCACGAACTTAATCCGCGGAAAACAAACGATGATCCAAGCGACGCGAACATAAAAACATGAACACACACAAACGCGCGTGGTACAAAGGAAACCAAACGATGAACTTTCAAACAGCAACCGTCGAAAATATACGAGAATCAACATTGAAAGGAGTCAAAGCACATACACAGAACGTACGAAGTAAATGCAAAAAGAAAGAACCGACAAATAGTAAGATGTTGACCAAATCTCTCTCTGTTATGTATGCTGCGTGAACCACACTCAACCATCTCATGGTTCACTCACACACGAGACTGAAGCCAAAAAAAATCAACAACAGAACCAAACACACAACATACAACAAAAGCACCAAACTTGAATAGAATGATTTTTCTTTATTCGCCGTATTTTTGTTTTGTGCACTTTTTTTCAGTCGCTGTTGTTGTTGTTGCTGAATTTGGAGCCGTGAGAATTGTATGTGCAGCAGCGGTTACGGCTATTTTCCGATTGCGATCGAATTTTAGTTCGATCATGCACAAAATCAGCGAACAAAAAAAATGCGTTTTATTCTGTTTTGTTGGGCCGAAGCCAATTTTGGACGATGGATAAATTACACATTTATATGATCGACACCAAATGAAATGGAACGCACATGAAACATTCAATTTATTTTATTTTATTTTTTTCGTTTCAATATGCGATAAATTCGATTCGGACACACAGTATGGTCCTCTTTCAATATGGAATCCAGATTCCGTGTCTTTTTGAACGTTTTTTTTTATTTTATTCATTGGTTTTCCAACAGATTTTGGTATATAATTTCACTTTTTTCATTTCGTTTGGGCTTCTAAACACAATTTCAATTGTTTTCACATGATGAGAAAGAAAAACAGAACTCCCACTGACCACATTACAATTTGATCCTGTTCGGGTCAACACTTACAGATTTACAACACGTTTTGATGGACACTATGAACCGATTCAACTGTATGCCGATTTTTTTTTCTTTTTTCCCACTCAGAATCCCTCTTAATGTAGCTGCATCTTATTACACATTCAATGATGTTTAAATAGTTGAAAATATTTGCCGATGATAAAATGATTGCACTACAAAAAGAAACACAGAAAATAGAACAATTTCAACCACCGAACCAGCTATTCAGTTCAACAAAAACAAACGATATGGCGCACATGTAGCTCAAAGTACATAATGAGAAAAAAGATTGTTTATATTATGCAGCGTGCTTTTTTCTCACTCGGTTCTTCTATCTTAATAACGTCGCTCGCTGTGAGACACATTTATACGTGTGTTTGTGCGAGTCGTTTGTGTGTGGTACGCGATCTATGCTTCGTTCGCCGCAATCCAATTAAAAGAAAAATAATACACTGAACGAATGAGCAGAAAACCAATATCAACGGCTTTTGAATTCTCTAGTCCAGTCACATACACAGAGAAACCAAAACCGAATGAGTCGTTTCTTCACATTGGATATGAAAGCCGTTGCCGCTAAACCAAAAGCCAAGCACCGAACGGTCACACATACCGTCATTTCACTCACACCTACGACCAACATCACTGCAGCCGTTGCACACATGCCGTCCCATTCCCACTCACCGAAATTCAATGGAAAAAGCAACAGGCGATAATCACTCTGAAGTTGACTCGCTTCATACAGCATATTTGTAGATCAAAACATTACGTTTTAAGCATGGTTTAGATTGATATCTGGCTTATATGGCGGTGGTTTTAAATTACAAAATTCAATTTTTTTTGTCTGAACTTGAAGTGATTTTTTTTTTCAAACGATGGAATTAACTCAAGCGAAGAGGTGTGAACGGCTTCCATTTTTCAATAAAAATGCAAAAGTGGTGTGTTGGGTCAAAGCCGTTTCCAAAAATGGT